AGGTTAATTTTGTTGGTTAATTTTGTGGTAATTGGTAATTAGTAAATGCTTTAGGTTAGGTATTTTAGGTTAATTTTGTTGGTTAATTTTGTGGGTAATTTTGTAGGCAATTAGGCAAATCTAATGGAAATTTTTTTTAAAAGGAAAGCATCAACATCGGAATCGAGCTCTGCTCCTTCGATGTCTTGCGAAATTGATTTAAACGATCTTCCTTGGTATCCGGCCGATAGTAAAAAGATTTCGGAATATCATCCTATTCAAAGGGATGAAATAAGGAGAAAATATTTGCTTAGAGAACATTGTCAACCACGGGGTCATGCATTTCCAAAAAAAATTGTCGGGAGTAAAAGAAATGTGCCCCCTACAATATATTTTTCTGCGTCCGCCACTGGTTCGAACCGTTGTTGATGTAGCAGTGCTACAACATCAAGTTTTTCCTTTTTGTTTTCAAAGAAACGCTAGTCACCTTTCTTCACGGTTCTACGAAACAACATGTATTAAGGTCATGTTTTTACAAATCTATACGAAACAATGCTGTAAAGGCTCATGTTTTTATATATTTACATGAACCATGGTTTAAAAATCATCACTTTTTTGTACCATTCGATGAAAGAAACGTGAAAAAGATACAAGTTTTTACACCGTTTTCCATAAATTGTCCAGATTAACACACCTCTACTTCGATAAATCTCAAATTTTACCCAAAAATCACCATAACATACTTCCACTTTTAGCTCTATAAAAAAGAAAATGTATAACAAAAAAAAGACCCAAACCATCCACTCTAAGGATGAAAAAACAAAAAATGCAGGGAATTTATGTTGTATTATATCAAATATTTTCAGTTCGTAAAAGTATAGCTAAACCTTTCTTCATTTATATATAAATTTAAAATTAAAATATTTAATTAATATATAAAAAAATATTTTGTTTTTTCTAATATATATGAATTAATGAGCATTGCAAAGAAAATTGTTTTTTCAAGTAAAATATAATAATCGACTAGTTTTAGTAATGAAGTAATATGTATACAAGAATAGGGATACTATCGGTCTCAAGAGGTGTAACAAGACTGTTTTTAGGGTTCATAGACGGGGTTGGATACAAATACAACTGTTTATTCTTCATATTCTTTTATTGATTATAAGAATAATAAAAACAAGAATTAACAAATTGTTTGCGTAAGGTGTCAAACCTAATCTAAACAATCTCACTTTTCTAATAGGGAGCATTAGGAATCTATAAAAACAAAGCTTAGAAAGCACACATACACTCTTGCATAGAGAACACTTGGAGAAAAGTAAGATAAGCAGAGGAGATGTCAACATTGAGAAATGAGGTCTTCTTAGCTGTTTATACCAGGTGCAATTAATGCACATTGCAGGTACAATCCACATGTCACTTGCGAAGGTTTGTAGATATTGATTGTCTTTAAGCTGGGAAGGGGACAATAAAACGATAGTCATATTGTACAATTTGTCACTAAGTTGCATGAGTTTTGACTTTGGAAAGAGTGGATAAGACAAAAGCTTGATATGCAAGATTCTGGTTCAGTTAGAAAGAGGACGTTGAAGCCTTCTTCGGCTTTGTTAAGTTCTTGGTTAATCAGTTCTTACATCTTCAAATAGGTAGGATCACTGAAACCAATCCAGATCTTCCCGTCTTTACCTTCAACTACATCTTCGACATGGCTTGAAGTTTTTCTTTGGTTTGTGAGGCTTTGTCTTTAGGGTCACTAAGTTGTTACAAAGAAATAAATTACTAAGTATTATATTACAATAACTGGGGACATTCAGAGATGGTAACCTTAAGTTCTACTTACAAAAGAAACATTCAACAATTACTGAATAAACTATGTTGATGACTGTGCTATCAACTAGAACTTAATACAAGAATTCACTAAGCATAAAAGGACATCATCAAATCACTGAGGAGGGTCAACGAGATCAATAGTCTCCCCCTATTTGGTGATTACAAAGCAACAAGTATGAGACACTAAGTTACAAGCATAAGGAGAAGATAACT